ACCAGCAAATAATCTGACTCTGGGCAATTTTCTCTTTGGATGGCCTTTGGGCATGAATCATACAAAACTACCAGGGCTACTTTTTTTTCCTTTTTTCAAGGCAGCCAGATGTGGCATAGATTCTGCCTCTGACTGCTATGTGACTCCTGTGGGAAGCAGAGGAACTGTAAGGAATGTGGATTCAATGGAAGCAGCAGTGATTTGCATAGGGTCATAAAGTGACATACTGTAGCAGAAATTCTCAAAGAAGGGCAGGAGAATGGAAGTCTGAAGGTCTCAGCCTGACACATTTCACTTAACTTGTGGAGTTTATGTTCATTTTCATCCGACCTGGCCTCTGATACCTAGCTTATCTGTTAGCAGTGCCCAGAACCCAGAATATGAGGATAAAGTGGTGCTGTTTGTGTTGAAGGCATTTAGCACATCAGCGCAGTTTAATCATAAAAAACATTGTTTTTTTTTTGTTGGATCAGATTATTTGTACATTAACTAAAATTTATTTTATTTAGAGAATTCTGAGCAACAAGCTAAGAGTAAAATGTGGTGACCTGTGAATTTTAAAATTAATATGAAAAACAAGTCTACTGTTGGAGGTCAAAGCTGGTATTAAAAAGACAGATTTTATTTTTTTAAAAATCAATCAAATAAAAATGAAATGTTAAGTAAGAACTCATCTCTGTGCTTTCAGTGTTCTGGCCTTCCTCTGTAACATCTGCTGAACTCTTAAAATCCATAGGTCTTTGAGCGAAGTGTGATTTAAATGGAACTTCAATGTAATCAGTTTTATCCACAGTGCCTTTCGTTTTGCTAAGAGAGTCCTGATATTTCTGTTGGGATTTGTATCTGATTCCTTTGATTGATCCAGAGCTTTTATAGACCCATGGACTTGACTGCTGTTGCACCTTGCTGAACTCTAAGGCAGTCAATCTTGGACAGGTTACCTAATGATTTCTTTTGTTGCATATTTATCTTCCAGGATGGCAAAGTATTTCGCAACAGACTGATACTAATAGTATATCAATAATGAATCAGGTGGCCTCACAAATACTTTAAACTGTGAACTGTTTTGATGGACCGCAGCAATAAAACCATTATCATGACGTTATTTATATAAATATGTACAGCAAATAAAGACAGAAAAATAATTTCTATTCAGCCCAGATGATCTCTCACAGCACATGGATTGAGAATCGTTGCATTAAGCGGTATTCATTTACTTCACCTTTTGTTTGCCACATTGTTTACATTTCCACACTCTTAATTATAGTTCTATGATGTATGCATTGATATAGATTTCTGTAGCAAGAGGCAACCGTGCTATTTCAAAGCTCCTTTCAAAAAGCAAGACATTTTGAGTGTGCATGAGTAAGGAAGCCTGCAAGAGTTGCATGGATAAATCACTAGCCACCCTAATGATCTGACTATATCAGTGGTGTGTAAAAGACAAATTATCTTGAGGGCCTAACAAAAACATACTGCACTGCTACATTTTGCCAAATTCTTCAAAGGTACTGTAGAGAGTGTCACCTTAAAGAGAATTATGAGCTAGAAAAGGAGTACCTAATAAGTAGATTGGGATCTACCAGTAGATCTCAAAGGGAGTGCTTGTTGATCATGAGCAATAAAAAAATAAAATAAATAAACATAATTCTATAATGTAGTGACCATATACTGTAAGAATTGAATGATCAGTATATATATATAAATATATGGTATATATACAGAGTATATATAGTATATTTATTGTATATGTTCAATTTACATGAGTAAAAATATAAATATGTACTTACTTATATAAAATGCTTTAAATGTGCTTACATGAAACTGGTAACAGTTTGAATTAAATATGCATATTGAATTTACAGTATATTAAAGGAAGTCATCTTCATAGTTGCTGCTTAATGGTGCTGCAGGAATCCAAGGCCATGGTTCTCTCAGCATTCTGTGCAGAAAATATATTGTTGTAGGTGAGAAAGACAAGTGAGCGAGTCAAACTGTTGGAATGCATGTGTCTATGATGCATAATAGATGTTTGAACAAATAAGAAGCTGTTTATAAGCAGACATAGGATATATGATATGTAGATGGGTAAATAGAATAGGTGTTTTCGAAGCTCCTGGAGATCTTTCTTCTTGTTTATTTCCTGTTGGAATTCACTGTACAGATAGTTTCCTTAAATACGTTTATAAAAGTGACTGCAGTTGCCACAATTCACTTGGAAGGAAAAGCAATATTAGAACTTGGGAATATGTGTTTATTTTTTATACTGACCATCGTTAAGAGTAGAACAATAAGTAAGAAGCTAATGTGAGAAAAAAACATTAACATGCATTTATGTATATGTATTTATGGGGAGAAGGTTTTAAGATGGGGAACTATATTAAATACATTTATATTGATTTATCCCCATGCTTTTCATATTATTCAGTCTCTGCAGAAAAGAACAGCCCAGAAAAATGTAGAAAAGGTGACAATTAGACTGCATCAAACGTCTCTCTGTCGCTCTGGTCGTAATTCATATCAGGGTTGAAGACAAACAGCCTGAAGTGACTGAGTGAATGAGGTGATATAATCCAAGCAGGAGCGATTCTCCTGGAGAAACAGCCGCTGACGTGTGCACCAAGTTGGCAATATACCAGTGATAACAGGAAGTAAGACGATGCGCCTTTCACATTAAAAGTCAAGCTGGTCTGCGCGTCTACTAACAGGGCTGTGATATTTTACTGTGTTCAGTCTACACCGAGGTATCCGTGGTAGCAGCCGCTAACTTTATTATGGTTTCGCTGTCAATCGACTCACAGCTGAAGAGACTTTTGCGGATGAGCTGCTTCAGTGGATTCTCTACGACCGCCAGAGATGAGGATTTAAAAAAAAAAAAAAACAGTTGTCGCACTTTTTTGGAGGTATTTTTCAATTCTTGCTTAGACGAAACCTTAGAAGAGGCAACATGAAGAATCCTGTGTACTGGGCTGTTCTGGTCGGGATCACTGTTTTGATGATGGAACAAGGCAAGTCCTGGCTTTTACCATTCATGTGTGCACTGTGTTACTGCTGTCATCATGTGTTTGGGATGTTGATCGTTGTTTGAGGCTGACAGTCCGCGTCTGACCTGACATGTGCAGTCTGAGCTTAAACACAGGGATCAGTGAAGTGAGTGGTCAGCTCAGCTGTTCTGCGGCGTGGTTCTAAACGTGTCAGTGTTTGCAGCAGTTCCATGTGGCTGCAGCCTCCGTTTCAAACTTCGATCCTGCAAAAGGAAGAGCCCAGCAATCACAACTGATGTCCTTTTCTCGGTGCTTGTCCCTGTTGCTCTCCGGCCCAGCAGCGGATCAAACAAGCATACGCACGGTAAATCTGCCACAAGGCAGCAAGTCTTTGCTGCAAAGTTGATTAAGAATTAAGTTCCTAATCCGTATTGACTGCGTGTTCAGGTCATCCAAGTTAAGCCGTGTGGTCTCCAGGCAGGCTGGAATTGTGTGATGGTGAGAATGGAAGCAAGCAGCTATGTGTTATTCCTTCATAATTCAAATGTTTAAAAAAATATGATAGATAAGATGTACGATTTTCTATTGCGCTCTTGGTAGAATTCGAATTAAATCAAATGAACCAACTCATTAATATAATACACATCATAATATAAGTGATGCCACTCGTTTTATTCATAGTCAAACCTAAACATAAGGTAAACTTCACGGTACAGTACACTGTACATTCCAAAGACCTGCTGTTTTAAGTTGAACACTTAAAAACTAAACTGCATTAGTCCCAAAAGTTTCATAATTTGTAGTGTTTTTATCAATAGTCACTACTGCTTCATGTTATCAATGACAATGTTTGTAAAGCTTACTGTAGTGTGAGTACTGGAACAAAACAGCGTGAAAGACACTGTGTTATTTTTGTTAAAAAAGTGTTTTTAACTGATGTTGTAATAAGTATCCTCTCAACAAGATTTCATCTAAATTGAGCAATAGTTTTATGCAACGGCAGTGTGGAAAGAAAAACAGGGAGGGAAAAAACTATAAAAACCACAAGCACACAGGAGAAGGAAAACAAAAAAAAGAAAAACAAAAGGAAAAAAGAGCCACGTATGTTTGTGAAATATTCTGTGTTTAGCACTAGAGGATTTTTTTTTTCCAAATAAAAAAAAAAATGCAGGTCTTGGCATATTAATCCAACTGAAAAACAGTGCTAATGAGACAGTCCTATTGTTGAAGCCTCCTGCTCCCATTCTTTCTCTGTATGTGGTTATGTCAGGACAGTGTTGCCTTTGTTGCCAGGATGCGGCAAACTCTTGGGTTTTTTGTTTTTTTCTACCAGGGCCCAGATGCTCACATGCCTGCCCATGTTCTTCATTCCTAGATCATATTCAGGCAACATAGAGAATTTTGGCATTTGACTGTATCAAAATGTGGAGCAGCAGCTGTTTTTGACGAGAGAGAGCAGAGATGGGTAGGACTGCTGGTAAAGGGGCAGTGGTTTTCTTGTATGCAGCCTTTTGTGGCAGACATTGAGATCATTGTTAATGGGTTGAGTGTGTCCTTATCACAGGGATACAGCTATTCGGGGGTGAGGGGGGTGGGTCTAACAGAAAAAGGGGCTTCTTGGAAATTATCACGTTGTGTTCAACTCCCCTTAGTGTCCAGTTTACTGGCAGGGAACATGACTAACAGTGAAGAAATGATAATCACAATTTAGATGATTATAAATATTTAAGTTTTTTTTTTCTCATAAAGCAATAATATTAATTTCTCAGATACACTCTCCCTGAACTTTTCTCCTCCTCACAGAGTGATTCACGACAGTTTCCAGAATGCTCTCTGGGACATGCATAAACCCTTTGCTTAGAGCTCCATTGAAGCTATCGTTGGTGACACACTACAAAAGTATGTCTGAATAAATGAGGGGAAAAGTAATTCTGTATCACAATTTAAATGCAGTGCATCATGCTATTCAAGGTTTCTCTCTATTTTGGTTGAACTTGAAGTATAATAGTTGTGAATACTTTCCAGTTTAAACAGAAATAAGGTTATATATTTTCTGTTCCAATCCCACCTGAGTCTTATGCAGTTTCTGAGTTTGAGTTACACTCTGTATGCTCATAACTGAATGACCTTATTTGCATTTCCACTTAAATAAAGAGCTTCAGTAATGTAGGATTTGAAGCATGGAATAACATTCCCATATTCATGTGGCTTCAGCTAAGTAAGCATTGGTTTTGCTTCTTGCCCCAAAGGAGTACTACAGATACCTTTGCTATAGTGCTAGTGGAGACATACAGAGAATGTCAGAAAATATTCTCACTATCTTTGTAAGTGTTGAAAAAAAGAGCAAATAATATAATAAAATTGGTAACCTACAGGGGAGCAATAAATAAGGGCGTGGCAGGAAAATGTGAGGGTGGTACGAGCCAATTATCTGCAATCTTAAACACCAAGTGATACTTTTTTCAAAAACCATTTTACCACCAAATGAAGTACACCAATGAAGTGTTAGGAAAATATCAGGGATCCGCCCTGATCCTTTTCTTGATTACAGAGTTGATGTACGTGTTGACAAGTGAGGTCTGGCAGGAGGCGATTTAGATTCTTTAGATCATGATACTTTCAGGTATAAATGAACCTGCAGAGGTGAGGGTCCACACTTGAGAGAAGAGGACTGAAGGTTATTTAAAAAAAAATGTGTGTGTGAAAATGAGAGTGATGCAGAAGGGAAGGTGAAACTGTAAGAACTAGGGCACAGAAGGTGCTTGATTGTGTGCCTGATTTCATTCGTACAAAACAAATTACAGTGCTCAATAGTGGTGAATTGAAGTTGTGAAACCAGAGTGTAATGAATGCTGAATGAAAGTTTTGAAGGTGACGTGTGACATAAGGATAACAATGAATGAATGGCTTTAGACCATAGCACTGTATGCAGGGTGATCAGCTAGAATTTTGCAGAACTTTAAATGCTAAGATTTATGTTGGAGGTGACCTGTATGGACAGGAATAGAAATAAGGAGACCAAAGTTACAGCTAAGTGTGAACTGTTTGGAGATAATAATGTGTTAGATATGATGGACAAAGGTGTGGGGCAATGTGTTAGATATGTTGGACAAAGGTGTGGAAATAGTAGTAGATTGACATAGAAATGGATGGTGTCACAGCAAGGGAAAAAGCAAAGAATTTGATGAGAAAGAGGCTGGTGATTCACTGCACCAGGTTCATGAAATGAGCAACCGAAAGCTGTTGGTGACATTCTTGTTGAAGATTATTTCAAATTACTGTATGTTTATCTAGTCACTTAGTATAAAGTTTTATCTTATTACAATTTTCTCATGGCAATTGCTGTGAACACATTTTAATTTAAAAAGACTAAAACAAAAGTTATGTGACATTATTCCCTCAGCTCCAACATTCAGATTTTAACAGCTTTTGTTCTCAGGCTAAGTTACGGGCTTTAGGTTTGTTTTTCTATCATTTGTTTTGTGCTTCTATTCACAGAAGAATATCAGGAGAAATTAACACATTATCCGATAATGAGTCTCACTGTGTCACTGAATTGTTATGGCACAAATGAAATTGCTAATTTGCCTGTTTCATGCAAACGACACAAGGCACTAATTGTCTAGTGAAAGAAAAACTGCAAATTGGAGGTAATTGTTTTCCAGTTGCCTTTAAATTCCTGTGGTGAAAGCAATCTGGGCATCACATTCTAGTTTTGTTGCAGTATTGATTATTTTTCTTGTCGTTATTTTTTTTACTAATGACTCAGATCTGACTCACAACAAGGTTGATATACAAGTTTAATAGCAAACTGATCGATTTAATTATACCCTGATTGGGTTATCAATTAAACTGTAGCGTTTTGCAAATCAAAGCAGTGGAATGAAAAGAGAAAACAAAACATTAAAAAACACAAATATATAATTAATCTCTATATACCTGTTTTCTATTCGAGGCTGTATAGAAGAAATGCAAAGTATTCTATATGTCCTTTATATAACTGTAGATCAAATCTGTTTTTCTTATTATGTTCTTATTATCCTCAAGCCAAAGTATTGGCCACAGTTTCTTTATTATAAGTAATATTTTACTCTGGGTAAACAACACCACAGATGTTTTTAAAGGGTATTCTGTTACAACCTTGGTGTTACCTTGTCATCTGCTTTTTTTAATACATAAGTTAATTGCTATTTGCTATTAATTTTCCATGGTTGTTAGTAGGGATGTTGATTACTTTTAAATAAATGAAAGTATGCTCAATGACCAGACAGTGTTGCAAAAACAACAAAAACTGCTCTAAATCAATCAACCAATGGCGAACATTATAAGGAATTATTCACTGACTTACACAGATTGGTTAAAAACTCCTTGCCTTCACAGTTGCGACCTTGTCATGGTAGAGAAAATTATATTGCCTGCTTTATAATCAGCTTAAACTGCATTTTGTGACGGTAGAATGTCCAGCCTCCTGTGAACAGTGACCATCACTTTTCCTGTCTGCACTGCCGTTGCAATCTACTGTTGGGCTTCTATTCCTCACCCACCTGATTGCTCAGCCTTTAAAATGGTACTACATTTAAGTTCCCTTTTCTTTTCTTATTCACTCTCATTTTTACATGAAAAGAAGGGAACATATTCTTAACATGGGTTGTTAGTCAGTAGATATTTAAATCAATCATTCACTGTTACCCATTAAAATAATAAATAGCACCAGTGTGGCTAGGATGCCTCATGAGACAGTGTCCTTTATTTATGCATTAATTGTTATTGTTATGAATCTGTCAGTTGGAGACTAGCACACGAGGTGCTTTGAGCTTGCGTGGTGTTTGGATGCAGTTTTGGAGCAGATGGCTGAGTGAGTTGTGAGCAAGCAAACAATCTGCAGAATAATCAGTGTACAATTACAAAGAGCTCAACTCGTCATTTGTGCAAAGCCCAAGAGATAATATTTTAATTAGTGCTCTCATTGATTGTGCAGCAAGGCCCCTGGTTAAAGGCAAGTGTTAATAGAAAATGGCGAGTCC